GCACCGGAGGCTGGCTAAGCCATTGGCCCCCTGCGATCCTGCCTCGAGATCCCTCCCCCCCCTATTCGTTGTACCTCGGCTCATTGTTGCCAGGTCTCCGCAAAGGTTTTCGGCATCAGGTTACGACGCGACCCTGCGGGGGGCTCCCCTGCTGCCCGTGACGCTCTCCTGTCCGTCCCCAGGTATCTGCGCACCCAGGTGGGCTCCGCCGTGATCTCTTCGGCTCTGCGCAGCGACTACCAGGAGATCAGCACGTCCGTGCGCTATCGCCTGCAGCACCGCAGCGTTGCCAGGTCTCCGCAAAGGTTTTCGGCATCAGGTTACGACGCGACCCTGCGGGGGGCTCCCCTGCTGCCCGTGACGCTCTCCTGTCCGTCCCCAGGTATCTGCGCACCCAGGTGGGCTCCGCCGTGATCTCTTCGGCTCTGCGCAGCGACTACCAGGAGATCAGCACGTCCGTGCGCTATCGCCTGCAGCACCGCAGCCAGGTACCCGCCCGGGGACGCGCCCCTCTCCTGGCCCTGGCGGGAGGCCGGCCGGCCGCGTGCGGCGAAATCCCTTTGTGGGGACCGGGTCTGGGTGAACGCATGGGGCCGGTTCACGCGGCTAATGGCCTCTCCTCTGCGCCCGCCCACAGGGGCCGCCGGACAAGCTGGTGGAGCCGATCTGCGCTTTCTGGAACTTCAGCATCAGGTGCCATTTGCCAGCTAAAACGCCCGTTTTCTGAGCTGCCCCCGTCGGCCCGGGGGGGAGGGGTTGGATGGAACGGGGCCGAAGCAGATCTGTCTGGCAAAGCAAACAAGCCGGGTCAGCAGGAGCATCGCTGCTGGACGGCCTGGTGGTTCCCCAGCGCTGACACAGCCGGGTTGGGGCTCTCCCTGTTTCCTGGGTCTCAACGGGAACATGCTGGGGTTCCAGCCACATGGAGCTGGGACTGGAGACCTCCTGAGTCGCGCTCACCTGGTCTGGCTGTTTCCTAACCCCTCCCCCCCACTGCCAGGAAATAACTCGCCATTGTTAGAATCACTTTAAAATGGAGAAACTGAGGCCCGGCGTCTGTCTGACTTGGGCAAAGCTCCCCGCCCCCAGGGACATCGCTGGATCTGGGCGTTGCCGGCTCCCTGTCCCGCTAGCGGGCACGGCTTGCTGGGGCGCTTAGGGGATTGGTGTCTTTGAGGATAAGAGTTCAGGGTGGCAAGACAGAAGCGCAGGTCTGGAGCCATGAGGTCGCCGGCGTTTGTGAGTAACTGCACACCTCGGAGCAGCCGAAAACGGTGCCCCAGCCCCTCCGGGCTCTGGATCCGGGAGTCTGGGAGCCGAGTGTGGGCCGGACACAGACTGTGCTTGCCAGGGGCTGGCCTGGCTCAGGGGACTTCTCCGGGTCCCTGTTGACTGTGTGATCAGGGGTCTGCTGAGCGCAGCCAGCTCAGTGCATGACAGAAGCTTTGAGCTCAGTCGGTTCCTGTCCCCTGCCTCATAGGAATCCCAGGTCTCTGCCAGCCTAGCCTGCTCTCTCTTGGAGAAGTTACTCCCAAGTGACCTTTGGGGAAGTCTGGGCATGAAGTGCCGGTGAATTACGGCCCCAGCCTGTGACACAGAAGGGCCGGG